ACTGTGTATTACTATCAGATTTTGGACATCGCCCATCTCAGCAGTTTGTTTGGACGAATTCACCAGACGGAACATGATAATCTTTTTATGTTTTGTCACCATAGTTCTGAAAGAAGTTTCAATTATCTTAGTGTACCTTCATTTCGGGGTATCTATTAACTATTTTACTTTATCTAAACACAAATATTGATACAATTAGGGATCAAATAGATATACGTCATGCCATAAGAAAATAAGATTATGGAGAGACAGAGTTATAAATGAGTAGAAATAAATGAACAAGAGTAGTGTATCATAGGAAAAGCAGTTCCTCGTAAAAATAAAACCAAAAAGGAGTTCCTCCCATTTTTTTTATCATGTATGTACAGAACTACAGCAAGATTGCTGTTAGCTTTTGTTATAAGACATGTCTGATTACGTATCAAGTCACTGAGTTGTACCGTTTCTCAAACACCCACTGGAGAATCATGACGAACTGACAGATACGAATCCGATGCGCCTTTCTTGCATACCTTGATGCCATGTTACAAAGTAACCTTCTCTCCGCTTTTTTGAACAAATTCCACCGTCAGTCCAAAATGCACGATGTAGAATTCACTGAATCCACTTTTGTAAAATATGTCTACGTCATTGTAGACAGTGTTTCAAGATTGGGGACACCAAGTAAATTTACGTCACTGTACCCGAACGTCACTAACGGGTTTTTTTTCCACTGAGTATCAACATTACTTTACAGAAAATGATAATCAGATGCAGATAATTGTCTTGCATCTTCAACTGGGACAGACCAGGTTTATTAAGCATGAAGCGAAACTGCTCTCAAAAACTCTCTGTAGATACAAGATATATCTATTGGAATATTTGGATTTTCTTCAACACCAGTGCTATTTCCTAAGTCGGTGACAATAGATTTGTAATATACGTTAATGTACGTAGCTCACTCAGTCGACAAATAGCATGTTTCCAATGAAAACTACAGAAAATCAGATTAGTGGTCACAAGCAATTTTTAATATTCTTATTAACAACTCACCTGACTATACAGTATAACACCAAACTTCAACGTACAGTTATCTAAAAACCTCAACAGGTTTGCTGTGAATTCTTATGAAGTTTTCAGTTGACTTCATTGTTTGTGAACGCAAAACCAATTGACTGTCTCATTAGTCGATTAATGACTGTTGAGAATTCTAACTCTCTATATTATGTAATCTCAAGTTAGTAACTAGTTTGTTAATGCATTCCACATGTTGTTCTACTTCCAGAACCTTAATTCCATCTGTTTGCAAAGCAAACAGCGATATTGTACAATAAATATTTATTTTGTATTGAGTTAGTATTCTACGGAATGGGGCTGCTAACGCCATGCCCAACACTCCTCCATTATCCGGGTTTGGGACCGGCAGTAGCCCCTGGAGGGGCTACAGGTGCAGTTATCGAATCAACATATATGCATATAATTCTTAGTCATATTTTATTTAATTGTACTAACTACTCAAGATATTCCATCTGATAAGTCTTCTTTCCTATGTAATGCTACTACTTTTATTTTCATTGGTCTCCATCCAACTTAATTTCTAGTGTAATGAAGGAGAACACACAAATGGGGACAATCGAATGTATTTGAACACAAAATTATAAAATCCCTTCGTAAAATCTGAGATCTATACACTAAATACTTCATTTGCATAATGTCAATCGATTGTCTCACATTTTACTGTTCTTTCATCGTTTCCACACCAATCATTCTCTGTTCTCGTTCTCTTTTCTTGGATGTTCTTAAACTTCTAGCAGCAGGTATTTCACTTTTGAATGATGATACATACTACTTATATCAGTTGACATCAATAGCACATATCGCAATACTACTAAATCAATTGTTGGGAAATTGGTACATGTCACTTCAATTATTTAAAATTTTAAAGCTTTAAATTGTGCTCAGGCCAATAAATAATGAAAAGGTTAGATTAATATCATGAATGGATCAATGTTAAACCACCACTGAAAATCTGCAAGCATGTATTGTTGGTTCAGTGGACTAGAGTTTAAGCGTTCAAGCGCGAGACTCAAGGTCCTGGGTTCGAGTCCAACATGCGGGATCATGGATGCGCACTGTTGAGGAGTCCCGTACTAGTTTAAAACAGCTGTCAATCGCTTCCAGGTTTTGAATGGTGGTTTAACATTGATCCATTCATGATATGACAGAATAAACCTATTATTCCAAAGAGATTTCGATCTTCAAAATTTTTACTGAAATGAACTTTTAGTGACCTGCTTTTCACGATGAGAACGCGATTGGTATAATGGAAATAATTATTATTATAACCAATTGTACCAGTGATTGTTCTACTGTACTCGTTGTTGTTTAACTGTATCAAAATCACTTTTCGTTCGGTCGCCCGTCTTTTCCGTTCAAACTTTCTTACACTCTGTCCTTATTGCCTGTACTCGTTGCTACGTCTCGGTATCGTTTTGATACCACGAGATCGTCAATAAATATACTTTATCTGGACTAATTACAGCCTTCTGGTTTATGGGCTAGCGAAGGAACCAAGTCAATTTCGGGCGCGTAATCTTACTGTAATTGTGATCATAGTCAATCGAGACTCGACGCCGTCTACAAACTAAATCACGTATTAATATTCATTTATTTAGGCTAATCAAACAGTTGGGTTTAGTAAAAACAACAAATGTTTATGAACACTGATAAGTTATCCCTAATGTAATAATGATTTGTCTCAAGTAGTGGGGTCTCCATTGTTTATTTAAAAGTCACATTTTGTGTGTGTGTGTGTGTATGTGTGTGAAGGTTAGCGAGAATACCCGCGTGTGCAAGCCGAACAACGTAAAGTGGAATGCAAAACTGAAACTGATTGAATATACATGTTGATCGTTTGCATCTTTCTATTGATGTTTAGGACTACTATGGATTAGTCTGTTTTAGCATATATGTGTACTGAATTATTTCCGAGATCATTTCTTAGGCTTCGTCTATCACTCGTTCTCATTAATCGTTACTAGGTAACTCCAAACAGTCGATGAATTTCCGAAGACAAGATGAAACGTTCACAAATCTTCATTCATTCTACAAAGTAGATCACTAAGCCACCACTAAGAACACAAGCAATTCAAATCTAGACAGGAGAGAGGTGTTTGTGCGTAGGCTGCTGTCACATGTGATTAAGCATATATGATTATTATAGATATGATAATAATGGCAATATATACACTACTATGACTGTTAGTTAAATAAGTTAGTTGATCTTCACAAAATTAACCGTAAATAAGCCTAATTGTGTGAGAGATACTAAGACCTGGCATAGCTATGGTGATCATAAATTGACAGCTTACCCTCCACTGTTTATCCCTTTAATTTTAAAATTGGCTTCTTTTGGTTGACTTCACTTGCATTTAAACCCATTAACCTAATAACAAGGTCAAGTGTTCGTGCGTGAGACCAAAAGTCCTCGATCCAAATCCCATGTGAGGGATCGCGAATACGCACTCTCGAGGAATCCAACAATAGGAAGAAACTATACATCCACTTTAGTCAGTCATCAATAATGATGTATGACCTGACACAAAGCACATCGCTCCACTTGCCCATACTCTATGTCTAGTATGCATTACTTTGACACTTTTACTCATTTAGCTTCGTTCCAAAATGTTGATGGGAGTGTTACTGACTTGTAGCAATACCTTTGTCATCCACTTAGCGTTAATCGTTAGGTCGTACTGGTTGATTTTTGAGAAACGTAGTTAACCCTGAGTCTAATGTGATGCAAGTATTTAGAACGGTGACTGCTCCACACACGACCTAGCGAAACTAGCACTTGCCAGATCCATTGAATCCTTCGGTTTCGCACATAATACTACACTAATTTATTTCAGATCGTACTTCAGTGGTATAATCCATACAAAAATGAGTTGTTTCGTAGTATTGTGAACGGTTAGGGAACTAAATCTCTCATTTGAACATAGACATGCATGATCTTAAATGACAACTTCCAAGTAATGACTCCAATTAGTGAACACACACAAAATAACTCTCCCGTCCTTAAACTTCTCATACTACAAACTTCCACTTCCAACGATTAGAATGACTATAAAGCAACGTAGTGTAGAAGTTGGAGTTGCACACGACATTAAACACCTGCTTACAACACCCTTCGCATAGCCCACAAATTGATGGAAAATCCTATCCCTTTATTTTAATTTGCTATTGAGGTTTCCTTTCAGCTAGCGTCTGAATACTTATGCACACGGGACGAACAACTGTGATGGAATACTCCACATGAAACCAAACGAGTATTCGTGACATCAACGAGTTCCAGCCATATTTCATCTCGGAATAACTCGCAACTTATAATAATATTTTTTAATTATTTAATTAAACACATAAATATTGGTACAAGGAAGCACCAGATAAATATGCGCCACACAAATCTCATTCGATTTGTGTGAGGGCTATGATAGTGCCCAGGTGCCCAAATCGAAGCAGGTGGTTTTCTTAGGGGGCCACACCCGGAGCCTTTGACCTCAAGGTCTGATCCACAAGGCAGTGGAACATCTTAAGGAGATGCAGTCCCATTGCAGTCGGTGACCAATGGTTGATTCATACGCCATTTGTTCCTTCAGGATACTGGAGCCAGCCCATGTGCACCATTGGTTTGGAATGAGGATTTTCAAACTCCACAAGGTGGACCCGCCGTCTCCACCAACCCGGTTAAAGCGCCGGACATTCGCTTTTTGTCCTCTCAATTTCGTAAACAACACCCCCGCTACGAAAAGGCAGTGAGTAGGACTTCCCTATCAGAGGCTATATATTCGCGTGGCCATGTGAGACGATTTCGAGAGGGAGAGCGGACTCTCCCCACTCTCGGCCGTACTAGGGCATTTGGGGGCTTTCATGGAATATGAAGTAGATCATTCTGGAAACTGATTCTCCTTGTTTGTTTGTTTTACATCCTCACCACTTTCAACAAAATAAAGGCACAGTATGACTTGATGAAATACTTTAATGATTATAGTTATTAAGAAAATAGGTGTGCAAGTGAATGAGTTGAAACATGACAGTCTATATCAAAAATAACAAATACTCAAGTTGATAATAGAAACTATCAATATTATCAGTTCAACTTATCAATTAGGTTGAAAAGTTTGGTAAAATCTTTTTGGACGCAATATTGTTGTTGATTTACAGAATTGGTTCTTATGAGCAACTTTGGAAGCCAATGATTTTTGACTCGATGAAAACGCTCAGACGGATCAACATTTTGTAAAAGTCGACTAATCCAGTATAAAAGACGTCCACTGGCAAATAACATCCAAAGTGGATAAAACCTTATGAAAGGATTTCTTAAATGTGAAGTATCAAATTCATTACTATTTGAGTTATAAAACGGACAAAGCACCTCAATCAGTGCAACTAAATGTTGTAATCCAGAGGCCATACTTTGTAATTCATTAAGCTGATGGACGTCCTCGATACAAAAGAATGGTGAATTGTCCTGGTAATAAACTGATTTGGCCAAATCAGCACACTTATCAAGATGTGTGCGAATAGAACTGACATGATCTCCAGCAGCAGCAGTATCACGATCTCTACAAATAAATTCACAATTTGAATTGATAGCGATTGTACAACATGACAACGCAAGTCCAACCGGTGATGTCTGAAGGCTTTTAGCTTTCTTCTGAGCATGAGACGAAGATCTGAACCATAGAACTAATAAAATAGCTAAACCTTGTATTTCAACAGGCTTAAAATCCTTATCCAAATTCACATTCAAGAATTCCGAGAAAAAAGATAAGAATGAAAATTCTGGTGTTTTAGCATAACGGGGTTTCAGAAGCTTCACTGAAATCAATGTCTTAGTCAAATGACCATACGAACTTCTTCTATACTCAGTGATACACTCATTCTCCATTCCACATAACTTCCCATTGGTGCCTAAGTGATTTTCAAGGCCAAGTATGAGTCCATTTAAAATACTTCTCATCTTCGACATACATTCATCAAGTGAATTAGGAATATTTATGTCCTCCATTACTAGACGATTAATAACGCCATTTCGTACATACATGCAGTCCATTAGAGTTGGGATTAATTCCAAAAATTTAAATCGCTTAATCAACTCTTTCGGCCAACGGTAAAATATACTGTCTTTATCATCATTATCATCATCTTTATTATCATCCAATTTAAGTTTAGAAAGTTTGGAAAGATCTTCACAGTAAGAACCACAAGAAGTTTTGGGGTCCTGAATGTTCGAATTTTCCAGCTTGCTTGACGATCTGACGCTTGAAAAGACACGATGTTCAGTTGAAAAACCTAATTCATGAGCCAGCTTTTCGCCTGAACTACTCAGAAGATAATCAGAAATCCCCAAACGGATTTCCTTCTCAATACCATCCCTTTCCTCTCGGCTGTAAAGTGACAGAATTGATGACAATGGTTGTTCTATATCATGGAAACGTAACAGCCAGTTAAATATAGCGTCGATACGTCTTTGATAGTGGGACCTACCCTGCAAAACAGAAGTGCACATTAGTGAATCGATGACAGTTGGAAGGCGAATATTTGATATCATGTCATTACCAACGAGGATGGCAAATAGTGGTAACATAGGATACTTGAGTTTATAAAACGGTCCTGAATTATTAAGAATTGTACACGATATAAAATAACATGGAGCACCATCAAGTTGACAAATAGAACAAGGAGGGGATCTCTCCTTACAATCAAGTGAAATAGATGAAAATGGAATAAAACTGTAGACTTGATTATGATCATTTGGTCGATAAATAAAAAAATCAGAATCCCCACTGGTAACAGGACAACGGAGATAAATAGCTAGTTCTGCTACATTGATATCGGCTTCACGTTCACATGCTATGTATGAAACTGAAGATTCCTTCAGAATTTCCACAAGAACATTTCTGCAAAGTCGTGGAGTTATATCGATGTTCAACTTTTCGCTATATGTTGACTCAAATTTAAGAGCTGATGACAGTTTGTCAAAGTATTCCATGTTCCGCTTTAACAATGTATCCAGTTTTGATCCCTTAAGAAAGCGAAAAAAATTCATTCGTTAATTTATAAAATGAATCACTGTATGTAACAAACTTGGAAAACACATATGGTTCAAGATGTTTAGTGTTAACTTTCTATTCATTCATTACATTCGATCGAGAATAATTGACAATCACTCTAAGAAATACGTCAACAAACAAAAACGTAATGATCAAATTACATCTCGAGTGGTAGTAAAACACTCATTACTACATATGGAAGCTCGAATAATACTAAATCATTGCTCGACCGTGTATACACACTGCTGAAGAGTGCCATACTAAGAAACAATGGCCATCCAGTGATTCCAACATTTCAATACTGGTGATTTAGCTTAGATTGACTCCTGAATTCAACTGTGAAAATTCTTGAATTGAATGCTTAATAAAAAAATATCCTCATATGAGATTAACATCCAGGTATACAAATGACTGAATGGACATGTTAATTTGTAGAGGTCATAACTCGAGTCTCAATGTAAAAACATAAACCCTAGGATGCCAACTCAATGGTCTATCGGTCAAGGGCTATGGCTCGAAACTGGTTGGTCCAGCGTTCGAATCTCGCGAGTGAGGGATCGTGGGTGCGCACTGCTGAGGAGTCCCATAATAGGACGAAACGGCCGTCCAATGATCCCAACATTTAATTAGATTGACTCATAATTTCAACTGTAAAAACATAAAGTTCAATGTCTTGTTGCAAAATCCTAAATACACAAAATAATTGGTGGTCTTTTGTAACATTAGTAAAGTGGATATTCGATGAACAGACCATAACGCTTGAAACTCACTTTCTGATGATTTAAGTGATGAGGCATCTAAGGTGTACGATTATAATTTCTAAGATGCACGGATTACTTCAATCAACTATGATATCATCTTCAATAGTGATAACATCTATACTAAACAAATGCCTTAACATTTAAGTGAACTTGGAAATATGTAGGTCATCAGAATAACAAAGTACTATGATAATGTAAGCATACCTGCTTGGGATGACATCCACCGAAAATGAAAATTGGTTCCACACGACAGATAGTAAACTGTTTTAAGAATGAATGCACATATCCTTTAAATGCCAAATACTCTCCACCATATTCACATCGAAAAGCAGCTTGACGATAACAGGAAGCAGCAAAGTTCTCGGCATCAATAACTAAAGGTTGGTTATGCAATTCATACCGGGATAAGTTGTCACTGTTACTTTGAATATACGTCCACAAGCCTCGGATACCCATCTGTCCTAAAACTTAAAACGATACTATATGAGTATTGAAATCTTTAAAGACAATAACAAAAATATAAGGAAATGATAAAACATTCGCATCTAGGTATGATGCACAAAACCTCAGGATGCATAAATCATCAACAATATTATGAGGGGATAAACTCAACCCTCTTATTTACTTCCTTCCCTACTTACTTACTTACTTACGCCTGTTACCACCAATGGAGCATACATAGGCCACTGACCAGCATTTTCCAACCAACTCTGTCCTGCGCCTTCCTTCCTATTTCTATCCAATTCTTATTCATTCTTCTCATATCTATCTCTATTTCTCAATGTAATGTGTTCTTTGGTCTTCCTCTTCTCCTTTGGCCTTCAGGATCCCATGTACAGGCTTGCCTTGTGACGCAGTTGGGTACTTTCCTCCATGTATGTCCTATCCAATTCCAGCGATTCTTCCTCCTCTGAAATCTGGTTTGTTCTCTCTCACAGTAGGCTGTTGCTGATAGTGTCTGGTCAACGGATCAGAAGTATTTTGCGTAGACAACTGTTGGTAAACACTTATATCTTCTGGATGATAGCTTTTGTAGTTTTCCATGTTCCCCCCTTAAAGTAGAACTGTCTTGACTAAGCTTGTAGCCCCTCCAACGACTACTGCCGATCGATCCCAACTCCGCATAAAGGAGGAGGGTTGAGCATTGAGTTAGCGCCCTCATCCCGTAGAAAACAAACTCGATAAAAAACACTAATCAGGAAAAGTTATTCAAACTATTTAAACCCACTTACTTGCTAATCTTTCATTTCGCCTTAACTACTTTGTTTCCCTTAATAAATCCAACCAACATATTACTCATATGCTTGGTTACTTTTACTAGATTACAGATTTAAAACAATTTTTCATGAAAATGAATTACTGCTTGCCTAATCAATAAACGAAATCCAGTCAATATTCCAGAAGCAACTATAACGAAAGTTTATGGATAAAATGATGAACTTGACTCTGGAGACAATCAATGAGCTACCTATTCATCTATCCATCAATCTGCCTACCTACCTACCTATCTGCCTATCTATCTAGCAATGGTATATACAATTAAGCAGAGTTCAAATCGAAAAAATATTGAATCCTCAGAATAACAATATATTTAAAAATATATACATATGGAGAGGTTACAATTCATCACGTTTAACTGCATCAACAGCATCTGTACGATAGTGTAGTGGAGTGCTTCGTTAATCGATCGTCTCGATAACCGTTATTATATCATCGTAAACGGTGTATAATATCAGAAGACAAAGGGAAGCAACAACTACATTTTTATTGATAAATAACATGGGCTAGAAGGCAGTGAGCACATTAGCAAATGTAAGCAAACGAAGGAAAGATGACGCATAGTGGAGATGGCTGGGAAGCCAACTCGATATGAGCAAGCGTTAATCAACATTTATAGTCAGACAAAAATGAATGACAGACATGCGATGAATAAGATACGAAATGTGCATACACATGCGCTCATGTAAAAAATATAGTCAAGGTCAATAAGGGAATAATTAACAAGATCAAAATATGACTCATAACATTATAGGTGAATTGGCTTGTCCAGAAACTAGAATAAACTATGTAGGTGTAGTATAGTACACGACGTTACACTACTCCCCACAATAGCATTGAGAAACGAAAGAGTATTTCAGAGGAAAAGTTAAACAGGTGTCAAACATTAGGCAACTACTATGTTCTATCATAGCACCATCATCAATATAAATAAAGACCAGTCAGTTGTGAATAATTCAGCGTGATGCTCTTCTGTCATCAAGTCCATCATTTCCTGTAGACACACGTTACAACCAACACCACCAACAATGGGAACCTACCTCCTGAGAAAATACGAAAGGTAAAATCATCATTACAGCATGACAACACGAATTAGTTAGTAAGTAAAATAATAATAAAAGATGGAAATTATTATATCTGTCACTGTTATGTCTGCAGCTAGGCTTAATTGACTTGCACTTGGTACTCCAAACTGCAAATACGATAACGAGTAATGCAAAAACACTGGTTATAAGCATTTATTTCACCCCATCAAAATGTTATATGCATACACAACTTTCTCTATCATTTATCTACAGTCAAACTGACAATCACACTTGTAGTAGTATTTAACATCAATTCATCAATATCATTAGTAAGACAACCTGTGGAGATTGTAGTATTTGAACTGTAGAATTCGGGAGTCAATTTAAGCCACAACACCATTGGGAACTTGCAAGCATACTAGTGTGCAACTTATCAGCAGCGATCATCCTTCATCCAGGAATTGGAATTCTAACTCAAGACATTTCATCTAGATTAGATTGACTTGTGAATTCAACTGTAAAAATAATCAATATCATACTGGTCGATTTTCACAAGCACTAGATTTTGCTCCTTTTACACTGTCACATCAAAAATTATCACCCTCAAAAACGACTACAAACTGAATACTGAATACGTCAAATTTTAGCGTGATACACCATAACATGAATATCTCTTCAGTCGAACATTAACAGGATCAGATATTAGTTTGTTTTGAAACACATTTCACGCTAAAATAAATATCAAATAACCGTGAGGATTTAGTGGCCTCGAGATCTCACTCTAATTAGGTCGAACGAATGTTTGTTATCGAATGATTCCAGTTGAAATATACATCCTGGATACCTTCGCATCGAATTGCCGAATTAACCCACCAACTCAGTAAATAACAGAGTTAAATTTAAATAACTCAAATATCGGAATGGATTTTTGAATACGAATATTTCGTGCAATCGCTGATCGGAAAGCGCAGCCTCACAAGAAGACGATGCACAAAAGGGAAGGAGAGTAGTTGGTCAACTCGATTTAATCAACCGTAAATCGTTAATGGTAGTCACAAAAAAATAAGTTACACATATGTGATGGATAAAATAGGAAATGCACGCAAATACACTTACATAAAAAACAGTCCGTCAGTCAACTACAACATTGGACCAGGAACATATATGACATACCTCGTTCGCACAAAACGATAAACACCGGATTCATAGAAACAGTTAATTTAGTCGATGAAGATTCATACCCTGTATCTAACCTCACTATTACTTACCCGGTGATCACAGCAGATGTGAGCAATATTTTTAAGACATCTGTGGTCAAATACTAGTAACTTACAAGTATCTTCTACTCTTAATGGCCATATTTCACAGACATAGGTGACATAAGTTGGCAAAAGCCAAACAAGCTTTTTGATTCCGTGCTGAGATTTCGTCAGACACCAACCCATTAGGGCTGATCAGACTTCCAAGATAGGTGAAGTTGTCGACGCGTTCGACTACTTCACTCACTATCATTCGTTCACGTGTTGACGCAGGCTAGTCCAAGAGTAACAATTTACATTTAGAGGGGGAGAAACACATAAAAAATTAATAAAAAAAAGTCAACATTGATAAGACAACAATTAAAAAGACCAAAATGTGACTCAAGGAAAATGAAATTATTGGCTTGTCCAGAAGCTCGAACGACCTATGTGGGCTTGACATTACAACCGACACTAACAAGTATCTGTACCACGATGTTGCCATCTTATTTCCTGTAATTAATAAATCAGTCAATTCATGTTACATCGTTTCACTTCACGACCAATAACATCACATGGTTTATCTTGTTTATTTAACGTGTATTGTATCTAAGCTAAAACAATTGGGATCGAATCTACTTATTCAGTGAGTTGAATAAATGGGAAAAAGATGAAAAACACCGAGCTATTCTTCTAATTATCTAGTTAGTTTCAGATTCACAATGTCACATGTCCAACTAAAAATAAACAGCTAGAAATAAGTCTTCTCAGTCGATGTATCTATATTCTGGCGTATTATTACCAGTTACAATCCTTTCTAATGACATCACTATATCGATTGAGGTAATATTTACAGAATCTCCAAAAGCGTGGAGTCAATTAATCCGTTGCTCCAAGGGCACCCATTTAGCGTTCTAATGATCTTTAAAGATGTTCATCGGTAAGTGAGATATCAATTGTCATGAACAAATTGGTTCCAAGTGGCTTGCACAAACAGGCGATAGACTGTCTTGACTATCGTCATCAGATCAAGTATTCCTTGTAAATGTGTTCTGATAATTCAATCATCAGCATTCTTACAATATGTTGAATACAATGAGCTGGGATTAACTATCATTTGTCTAAAGATCACAAGAAATCTAGTCTTTACTATTCCATCGTTAATTGAATAATTGAAGAGACTGTTTGAGGTCTTGCTATTACAACAGGCAGTCAACTAACCTTCAATTCAACTCGATCTTACATACATCATTCGTTGGAATATTGGATGTAGCTAATTTACTAACCACAAATCTAAATGATTTTACAAAACATCAAATCATCACCCAAAATCAAAACATATACACATTGAAATGGAATATAATCCACCAAACATCCACTTCATCAGTTCCCTTTCTTTATGGAACTCAGTCAATAAAATAGAGCTAAACTACCTTCAATAGTTCTACTCCATTCAACGTTACATTCATTTTATTGTTATGCACAGTATAAATCCAACGGTAGAGGAGAGCCAACATCAAATGACTAAGAAGATATAAGAGATTTTCTCAGTATTCATATGTAAACTAAATCAATTCAGTTACATAATCATGCACTTCAGTATTGAACTTGATATGGGGTACTTGTTAGAATTACTGTCTACTTAAATAATTAACATACCGTAGTATTAAGTCCATTATATGGAATCATATAAAACCAGTAGATTAAACCTTGTGGTGAACAGAAGTAGTTTAACAGAATTTCACAGGCTGCATAATCGACAACCATCCATGACAGTCATAATACTACATCTTGGAAATTAACATGAAATAGTAAGGAATCCACCTAACTTCATAGTGTTACAGGAGAAGTTCAACTAGGGACTGTTGCAAATGACATGCCATAGACATGAAAGGTTTCCAAAAACGAAATAATT